GTTCTTCTTGTTGATTTGTTTGAAATTTCGAGATTTTATTTCCATTTTCTGTAAAAGTTGTTGTTTTATTTTTCTCTTCAACCCCTTCTAACTGAATTGTGACATTATTCTCTTGTGTTGGTTGTTCAATTTCGTTAAACGTAATCATTCTATAATCATTTTGATCTATAGATTCATCATCAAATGACTGATTATTAAATTTAATTTCGGTTTGTAATTTCATTGTTTTTTGACGTTCTGTTTTCGTTTTAGGAATATCAAATCCGTCAGATGTTTCTTTGAATTGGCTAGTTATATTTTCATTTCTTTTGTTTGTTCTACTAAACGTAATTTTACTTTCATTATGTTTAATAATAGGTTGAATAACTCTTTGTGCAGTTTCTATTCCAATTTCTTTTTGTTTGATTGGTGTTTTTAAATCATTTGGATGTTTTAATCCTAGTTGCTCCTTTTTCTCTTTTTCTACATATTTTCTTTTAAATTTTTGTAAATATTTTTCTTTTTCTTCTTCTGTGATTTTAGGTATTTCTTCCTCTTTTTGAATTTCTTTCTTTTTCTTTTCTGTTTTACTTCTTATAAATCTTTCTTTTACTTTTGTTTGTTGTGAACTTCCTTTTTTATTCTTATTTTGATGTTTTGGCATTCTATTTTAATTTGTGAAGTATTAAGTTCTTCTCTTTTTTTAGCAGTCAAACTAAAAATAAATTAGAATATAGAATGTTTTTTTGTGTCTTATGAATAATATATAATTATAAGTACACTGGAAAATTCTAATCAGAAGAGTGAAACCAGTTTCAAATTGTTCTATTTATTTATAAGATGTACAGATTATACAATCTAAATTAGTGGTTAGACAAAGATAGACTGAGTTGTCAGTCAAACTATTCAGAGAAAGAAAAATAAAAAGTAAAAAACGAATATTGATTCTAACACTTTTAAAAATTGTTTATTTAAGGAAATGAACAAATATAACATAAAAAGTATTGAACAAGTGTTAGACAAGGAATTAAACACATAAATTAAATATTTTCGAATAGTTCAGAAGAAATTCCATTTACTTTCAAATAATTTTTGATATCAACACATCTTAGAATAATTTCATTTGATGTTTGAAGTAAATCAGAGATAAAAGAAGATATTAAAGTACCAATTTTTTCAATAGAGTCTCTGTTAATAATTATTTTCTTATTATTAAAAACTTCAATTCTTCCATCAATACCTTCTCCTTCTTCAGTTTCAATAGTAACAAAAACTCCATAAAATGAAAGTAAATCCATTGTCAGATGTAAAACTTCTTGACGTTTCATCATTTGACATCTTCTTCGAGCAGTTTTTTCAGAAATACCTTTCTTATTTTCCAGAAGAACCAATTCATTACATCTCATTCTAATATAATTTTGAACATCAATGATGTCATCTTTAAAATTAAATCTCTTTACTTTTATGAATTGTTGTGTTATACGAGATTTCCTATGAGGTCTTCCTATAACTATATCACATTTTTTAGATAAAAAAGTTAGTAAAACACATTGAAGCATTGATTGTAAGGTTCTCATATACTGATGCCTCTCTTTATATTTGAGATGGTCTCCATGTTTTGGAAATATATTAATATCTTCTTGAGAGTGCATTGTATTATAAAGTTAATTCACTCAAAGAAGTTCTAACAAAACCGCTGCTTTAATATTCTTTGTTTTCGCTTAGTCTATTTTTGTATGAACAACTTTGAAACTAAAGCAATTGTTGTGAAAATCAATCGAAAAATCTTAAAAACTGCCAGCATTTTAACTTTAATTATGTTCCATTCATAAGTTTTAAGAAAGGCTCATTGAAAAAAATTTATGACGCAACTAACGAACCTCTCATGAAAAGTTGTGGGTTGGATGTTATTTATTAAAAATTAAAAAAAAATAGATGTTTCTCCAATTTTGTGTAAGTAATTTTAAATAGCTTGTTGTTATAAAGACTAAAGCAACTTTTATCTTCCGGTCCTTTTCTTATTGACATTACACTGGATTATTGGTTTTGATTTTCTCCATCCCCAAAGAAAGTCCATTTTACGTTCAATAATAATTCAATGACAATTCAGAACAAATACCGAAATGAAGCAAGAGTTAAATTTGTTTTTGTATTAAAGAAATGAGATAAATAACAAAATATAAAAATGTAATATATGACAATAGTCTAAAAAAAGAATAAAACCAATTAGAGAATTATGACAATAAAAAGAAATGAATTAAGTGTTAATAGAACTTGTTTCTATTGTTTTTTTTTTTGTTTTAGAGATGTTAATCCAATCTCTGGTTGCTTTTTAGTATCTCTAAAGTGTATTTTTGTTTATGATAGAGTGAATGTTCCACGGCATTCATCATGTTTTTAATAACAATATTTTAACTCTTTAAGAACATCAATTTTTTCAATTCTTTGATTAATCTAATATTTTCATTATTTATAATTTAATTTGTTTCAATTTATAATTCAAATTATTTTAACATCTCTTATTTTCTCGATTCTCTTATTCTATTCTTTATTTCTTTATAACCATTCTTTTTCTTCATTTATCCTTATTCTTATTGTGATATAAAACATTAATCATATCATTTCTTATAATAGTTTTATTCTTTTTATCTATTACTTATATTTATCATGCTTTTTATTTAATTATTTTTATATTGTGTCAATGAATATTTCCAGTTACTTATTTTCATTATACTTAAATTTAATTCATTTATTGTTATAATGACATTATCCTAATTGATATATCTTTCATTCCACAAGGTGATTTGTTTTATTTTCCATTTCTCTTTATTTAATATCACCTGTGTTTCATATAACGATTTCAAATATTCTAAAGTAATATCGTTATTTGGGTATATTTCATTTTTTGTTTCTTCCTTATTCTAATTTTCTTGTTAGAATCAAACATGATTTTATTTGTATTGATTCTGACCCTTTCTTCCTTATTAAATTTAATTCTTTCTTTTATCATTGTCATCATATATTTTAGGTAATTTATTCTTTCTAGTGCTTTAACTTTTATTCCTTCTTCATCATGTTCATTTAATTTCATGATACACTTTATTCTGTACAATTTCATTGAATATATCTTCTAGTCTATTGATTTTCTTTATATTTCTTTTATTTCATCATTTTTATCTCTTATTATTTTATTTTGGAGATAGAGGTAAATACACATTGAAATCATCTTCATATCATCTTGCAGATAATGCACTCTTCTTCCTGACAATATCCATCTATTATTAATTTCTATTATTAATCGGTCAGCTTCTTTTCTTTGAAAGTAGTAATTAATGTTTGTACATTTTTCTATTTTCATTTCTTTTATTTTATTGATGAGAGTGTTAAGATATTCTTCATCAATTTCATTAGAGTTATTCTTTAATATGATGTTTTTTATTATTGAATTACACTCTACTCTTCTATTATATCATTTACTTTCACTTTAAT